AATCGGTAGTGAATTGATTCACAGTTGTTACCGCTCCACACTACATATCCATGCTGTGTAACAAACCAAATAGAAAAAGACAAAAGAGGGGTTATTAATTGCACGTGCACGACAAAAAAACAAATTAAAGAAAAAGGTTACGAAGGAAATGGTTTAAGTAGTTGTGGCTTTTGTGCGTAAAGGAGATGTGGTGGGGTTGAAGGTCTTTAGAGGATTCATTTGCTGCCATACCTCAATGTCACAGCCACATAATTATGTCTCCTACCATTTGACATTGTTTCAAAGGTTATTAAGCCTCGGATCTTGGGTGCGATTTGATAAATCTTTTTACAAATATCTTTTGACAGCCTAGATAACTAAATAATGAGTTTTTTGAGTTTTGTCTTTAAATATCTTAATGGTTTGTTAATGTGGCGTTTAATAAATCTGAAATCTAAAATCTAAAAAATTGAAAAAATATTATTTAAGTCTGAAACTTAAAAGGAAGTAAAAATAATTTTCTACTTTTTAGAGGTTTTGAAAAAGATAAGATCATTTGATTTGGAGCAATTTTGTGAAGTTTACTATTTTACCCTTAGAAATAGACTATTTGATAATATTATAAATACTAAAAAGAATATTAAATAAAAATAGTATTTTATTAATAAATAAATATTATATTTTTTAAATAAATACTAATTTACTATTTAACTAAAAATAATATTCATTTATTATTATTAATTAATAATAAATAAAATTATTTTATTTATTACTAATAAATATATTATGAAATATTCTTATTACTATATACATATTAATACTAGATATTATTATTTATTTAAATTAAAATGATATTATTTATAATCTTATAATAATTATTATTTAATAATAATATATTTATTATTTGTATTATTAGTATTAAATAATGTTATTATTACTATTAATGTCATTTTATCACATTTGAAATGTGTCTAATCTTGGTAAGACATGAAAGCAAGTCTTACCAATTCAAATCTGAATTTATGTTTCAAATCCTCTAATCATACCTAAACCCAAATGCCACTGGCATCTAAAAAGCAAAGTTTTTAGATTTTAGATGTCTGAAAAGTGTTATCAAACGCCACCTAAGTATCCTAGACTACCATAATCTATATAAATGTTAAATGAAAGAGCTTAGATGCAAAAAGACAAGATGAAGCTTCTAGGTTTTTGGCCATTTTAGGCTTTCATAAGCTTAAGGCATAAGTCTTTCTGACTCCTGTCTCGTTGCCAAATAAAGAAAAATTTTGGTCTTCCAAGCTTTGAAAGCCCAAAAGACCACATGAAAAGATTGCCAAGCACCTCATTAATTTGATGGGATACAATAAAGCTACAAAAGCGCATTCCTCATGCCTTGCCCCAGACAAAAATGCATATTGGTTTCAATAACAGATCCAACAGGGGTAGTTTTATTTATTTATGAAGGTACCTGGGAGTAGCTGGGAATAGCTACAATGGGTAATAAAATGAAGTCATATGAAAGTACCTGGGAGTAGCTACAATGGGTAATAAAATGAGAGAGTAAATCAAGATGGTTTGGTCATGTGTATGGAATATCTATAACACCTATTAGAAAAAGTGATCTATTACAAATTGAAGGGATTAAAAGAGTTGAGTGTAAATCAAAAGGACTTTGATAAAAGTAATAAGAAATGATTTAAGTGCTCATAATTTAACAATAGATATAACATTAAATATAATGAAGTAGAGAAACGAATTCATGTAGCCAACCCCATCCAGAAAACCTAAACAAGTCAAACATTGAAGATAGGCATCTCAGTACTAAAACTGATTAGAAATTGACTGATAACTCATTAACTAGGTTATGAGCTCTTTAATGTTCAAATGGTATTTTGGGTTGGTTACTGACCTTCAGATAGTGTATTCTATGACTAGTTTAGCCATTTAAAAACAAACCAATAAGCCCATTCAGTTTAGCTGCTTCAGATGTAAATAAAAAAAGAAAAAAAAAAAAACGACCCCAAGAATGAGAAATGAATGATAAAAATTGAGCATTCTACGTTTCTACTTGGCTAGCCGTCCATCCTCAGCAATTTGATCTGATCGATTAAATTGAATAGTTTGCCCCGTTTTATTGAAAGACTGTCAAATTAAACAATGGGATTGCTGATGATTCTTCATCAAGTCATGAACATTTCTAGAAATGATATTTCAAAAGTTTATCTAATTATATGGTTTTGAGTATGTTGACCCAGTTCCCAGTCAAAGGGTTACACAAACTTCTAAAGCCACGATTGTTTGCCGATATTTAGTGGGGTAAATTCGTCAATTGGTAAATTGATCACAATCCTCATGTTCATTTTCCGTTATATTTGGTTTCATGGTAATTGAAGATACCAAAGAGTATCAATTAAGTGGGTAGCTGATACCCTCCTACAAGGGGGGTAAGCAACTTACCTGCACACCAATAATACTCTCTCCCTCCTACCTCTCTCTTTAGTAGGTAACTTATATTGTACAAGCGTACTAGAATCTCACTTATCTATCTAAATTTTATTTTATTTAGAAAACACTTGCCCGAGTAAACATACTTATCTAGATACATAAAAATGAATGGGTCTAAGGAGAAAAGAATTGGTTACCATGAGTTTTAATTTCACTTAAAGGCTCAGTTTGGAAAGAGTACAAATACAAATTTGTAGAGTACAAAACCTAGAATTTGCCCAGAACATAATTGTATTTGTACTCTTTCCAAACTGAGCCTAAGTTTCTAAAGTTTATCCAAGATCACTAAAAACAAACTTCCACATTCTCCATCTCTACTGTTTGCCTCTCCCAATGGTTTTCTTCCTTAATCTAATAGTTTTTTTTTTTTTTTTTTGTTTTTTAAGTTTTGATTTTGTACTTCACTTATAAATTATAATGAAAGTTCAAAGTCGTGAATACCTTTATGTTAGAGCAAAGATTGTGGTTATTAAAGTACTTTTGTGCTTCAAGGAGATTCAAAGTTTGGTTAAGCATGGTTTTTTTTTTTTTGTATAGAGTTAAGCATGTTTTTGAAAGTAGATTCCTTGAGAGTAAAAGCAAATCTACAACAAAAAGCACAAAGCCATGCTGGATTACTTCGTGCTTTTGCAATGCACCTTGGGTCAAATATATTTTTCACAAAATGCAATAAAGAAAAAACATATACATACCACATGGCAAAATATACGCCTATGCTTCATCACAAAATGGGTAAATATTAGGGTTGTAATAGGATCGGATTTGAATTAGATGCAGCAAAATTCGTATCCAATCCGATTATTAAGAACTTACATCCAAATTCGATCGGATTTAAAGACTCATATTCAAATTTGAATTCTAATGGACTCGGATCAAATTCAGATTTAATCTGACTTCGTTATAATTTTTTTAAAATACCAGAAAAAATATAAAAGAATATTTAGTTTTCAACTTTTATCTATAATAAGTTAATATAAATATAAAATACTAAATTTATTGTTATATATAAAAATTCATATATAATAAAATATATTTTTATATTTTTAATTATAATTATATAAATTTTATATATTAAAATTAATAAATATTATAATATAATGGGATCTAGATTTTAATCGGATATTGATTCTAACATCTGAATTTGATCCAATTATATAAATAACCGGATCAGATGTTAGATTAAGCCTTAGTTTTTTGGGTATCATTGACCGGCCATATAAATATGACAAGCTATATGGCATGTTGGAGAATTTGTGATACATGGTGAAATATACGCCATATGACAAAAGTTGCGACACAACAAATGCCATGTGATAAAATATATGACACATGAAAAAATATACCATGTGACAAAATATATGTTATAAGGAAAAAATTGTGATACATGACAATATATATGCAATGTAAAAATTTCTGACACATGGCAAAATATATGCCAAGTTTGATTAACATAGGCAAAACTATAAACCCTGTGACATTTTTATATTATAAATTTCAATAAATAACAAGTTTCTGCTCTCATAACCTGAGAACAATATTTACTAAATTGTAAAAGTACACGATAAAAACACAAAACATGCCTCATACTTTTATATCCAAACACATCCTTAGTTTATATGAATTTTACGTGACAATAAGGCCAAGATTATATGAATTAACGTGCCACATGTAGAGAAAGATTCAGTATTGAAAGTGGAAAGCTGAAAAGATTTTTAAATTTGTAACAAAAGAAAACGAAAGACAAAACAATATTTACTAATAGTATTTAATGAGTAGTTATCAAGTAAATTATAAGGTCCTCAAGGGTTGAAGCTGAAGTTGGATTGATTATATTTATACTCTTATATATTATTATATAATTAATGAATCAGTTCAGCCTATTTCAGCTGTTATCAAACGACTCCATTGCTCAAATACTTAATGCATTAATTTCAAATTTAAAATCTTGTCACTGTTGTCAGCATTCTGCTTTGAACTCCTACCTCAGTAATTATTATTATTAGAGCCACCTCAATCATTCCTATGTTGCTCACAAAGCGTCTAGAAATCAGTTGACCCTCAAAATCTAGCTGCACATCCAGCTTGTCCCATCCTGGCAATGCATCGGTGGTGCATATCTGTCAACCTGAGAGAAGTCAAGTGACATTAGAAAACCAAGTCAACATATAGTGAAACTCCCGTTCCCAATGGGCCAACTCAACACCCCACAGGAAGCTAGAATCTAGAAGTGGATTAACCGATCAATAATATATTGACTTGACCCATTGCCAGCCAAATGTCAATCCATGAACGCTGTCAAAACAAGATTTTACAACAAAAGGAGGAGATCGGATTTCCTCCTCACAAAAATGGTCATCACAGGAGATTCTTCATTTGTAAAATTAGAGGAGATTGCTATTGAGTATTGACAATTGTGGATTTCAACTTTCCATCCTAGATAAAATGCAAAGGATTATAACCTTGGGGGAAAAAAAGGAAGAAAAACAATAATTAGTTATGTCAGAGGAGCTAGCCTCTTCAAAATTGAGGATCACCAGTTCACAACTGGAAAGAATCATTTAAGGTTCCAAAACAATAAGAAGAGAAGATTATCCGAATAGTACAAAGAACAGGTAAAAACTATAATTGATACATTACAATACCGACCAACAGGGCCCCCCCCATGTAAAAACCAACCACATCTCTTCTGTAAAATAGGTTCAAGCCTCCCTTTCTCCTGTGTCTCTATTTCCCTCCCTTGTCCACACACAAAGTTGTACACCACTAACACATAATCGAATAGAAAGAGAACTTTCAAAAAAAAAACAAGAATGAAACTGTCAACCAGTTTCAAAGTGCATCATTATAAGTGATACATAAATGGGAGCAAAATCAGTGAGGTGTGTAGTAGTATCCTCCTTGTCCCATCGTACCATTCACCGGCGGCATCCCATACTGTGGCATCCCGTATGGCATCGCAGCAGGTGGACCTTGAGTGTAGAAGCCGGTCCCGTTGATCTTGGCCAAACTCACTTGGCCTTGCATTCCATCCCTGGCATACTGCTGCCACATATGCTGCTCCTGAACCAGCAAGTTCTGTTTCTTCTCAATGTCTGCCATCTGAACATAGGCTGGAGGAGGGATACTGACCGATGCAGCAAATGGGTCATGCCCAACTGTCTGGACAGTTCCATCTGGGGCAGGAAGTGCCAGCACTGGTGTTGCACTCTTGCCTGGCACTGGCAATGCCACACTGCTTGCACTCCCTCCGGTCAACTGTGCTGTGTTTGTATGCTGCCTCACTGCCCCCTGATCATACATGCCGTTCAGTAGCAATGGATCGAATCCACCTGCCAAAGTGGCTTTCTGCTTTGATAGGTTGCTCGCTGTCTCTACCAGGGCTAGTTCCCAATCGGCCTTTCCGGGCTCAGCAGCGGGTGTGTGCCATGCTGAGGTTACTTCAGGCTCCCCAGGCGCAGTGCCATTAGATGGGAATGCTTCCCATGATCCATTGGTGTTTCCAGTAGCCGGTCCAGAAAACAGAGCCAGGGCCAACCTGTTTGATTGATCTTCAGCAGAAACCCCATTATCTCTTAAATCCACCAAGTCCTCTGTTACCTGCTGTGGCTGCGGTTTGGGTTCTGGCTCAGGTGGGGGTGGAGGAGTATAATTTTCTGGCGGAGGGAGAGCCTTTATCTCGTTCATATCCTGTGCTGGTTCCTCCTCTTGAGGGGTCTCCTCACGGGGCCTATCAGGGCTCTTCGGCCTCCTTGCCCTATCCCTCATAAACTCCTCCAGTGTCTCCAAAAGCTTGTCGGTAATCCTCTGCACCTCAGGATACTCTGATGACCTTGCCACGCCTATGTCCTTACACCAATTATAGAACGCCACAAGCTCATCGATCTGCTTGGCGGCACTAGCATATGCTTCAAAAGACTTCACGCAATCAGGGTATTCCATGTCAAAGAATCGATCTAGCAACACAGCCAATATCTCGCATATATCCGCATAATGCTTGAAACTTTCCTTGACTACAGGGTAGAGAGCAACGAGCACCATTCTACTGTTCTTGGCCGTGCCGGTGGGCCGACATGCCAAGAACCGATCGAGAAGACGTTGCAGCTGATTCATCTTGCCCAAAACCCTTTCCGGCTTCATATCCCTAAGAGGCGTCACCGGCTTCCTCTCCTCCCGTCCCTGTGACTCGTTCAAATCCCCATTAGACCTCGACCGCCGGGGCGGTCCACCATAGTTTCCATAACCGGGTTCATCTCTGAACCCGTATTCATACTCGTAAGAACGCGGTGGTGGCCTCCACCGGTCGTCTCTGTCCCCAAACCTATCATCCCTTCCGTGGCCACTGCCACTGCCACTGCCACCGCCAACGCCTCGCTGTTTCCTATCGTACACCAGATACTCAAGTTGCTGATCTAGATACAAAGCGTAAGTCTGAACAAAGGCAGAGTGATCCCACGAATTCGAATGAGCCTCATCGCGAAAATCGGACATATTGAGGAGACGAGTCCCTTTGCGAGTCGCGTAAAGGATCTCCTGTTGAAAATCCGGATTTCCCTCATTCAACAACCGATGAACAAGCATCAATGCCTTGAGAGCCACGACCCAGTCCCGTGTCTTCCCCAGACGCCTCGACACGGTAGCAACACAGGCATTGACGTACTCTCTGGAAAAAGAAGTCAGAGTCAAGATCTCCCTGATATACTTCTCGTCGGCCGGATCATCGTCGTGACTCGTCGCCTTAACAATCGCCACCTCCAAGTCCGGCGCCGTATTACTGGCGACCTTCGCCAATCCGATACTCGTCTGATCCTTAACGGCTCCGATCGCCTTTCTGATGCTTGGCGCCATATCCACCACCCCTACCACCTATCAACCGAGAGCGATTACTTATCCACTTCTTTCCTACTCAACTTCTTAAGATCTAAAACGGAAACCTTCGCAGATTATCAATTGGGAACCAATCCACCACTCCGCTTTATTTATTTAAACTCTTTGAATCAAAAAAAGAAACAGAAGTACACAAAATGGAAACAATTCGTTTCGGCTTCTCTCGATCTACGCCGAGGAGGCTCCGATCTATCAATAGAAACAAATACCAACCGATCTGAGTTGATTGACTGACCTCAAAGCAGCGAGAACGAGGAGACCGAAGACGACCACAAGATTGAATCAGAACTGGATCAGATCGACAACGAAGACTGAAACAGCAGATTGGATTCCACTTCACTAGATCCGGCTATTACGGCAGCCACAGGGGCGTAATCCCTTCAGTGATCGATCACCGAGCGGCGCGTTTGGCATTGATGGTGCTCCGAGTTTCTCCACCGCCGGTTTTAGCTACGTGTATAGATGAGAGAGAGAGGATGGAGCCAGTGAGCCACCAAACATTACAAAACTGGGTTTAAGTAGGAAGCTCGAAATCCGGTGGAGGTAGTTAGATCTGGACCGTGCATCAAGATCCCGGAGCATTCCGAAATCCGAACCAAGTTTGCTTTAGCGAAAGTATCGGGTGCGTGTCGGAAATCGAGTTTTACACTTTTAACCTTTACTCTAAATTGAAAATTTGAAAACTACTTCGAGTCTTCGACTCACCGAGTCACCGACTTTAGTTTACTTTTGAAGGGAGAAGGTAGTGGTTAGGAGGTATGCTACAATAAGGGCGTCCTCATCATATAAGAAATAAGGATCCATCACAACAAAAGATCTAACGGTGATTAACCTGTTACTAGAATTTCAGAAATAATTCCCTTCTCGTTTGAGATCTAAGAGTCCACATCAGAGGATCATCGTATACACTGAGTCGTACACAGCTGCATTAAGAGTTGGGATTATTGTCTGCCATTGGATCTGCGTTGTTTTGACTTTGACTATGTGATACGGATGCTACGGTCAGTTGTTTGATTATGATTTTCGTAAAAGTAGAAATGATGGCTTAGGTTGAACTTGACTTCTGGAGTGGGTCCCATTGAGAGGTGGGTCCCGTTCCTTTAAATGGTGATTTTATTATTAGTTGGACACCTGTACAGACAAAACCAAAAGATAACACGTTAACTGCACATCTCTGACGCTGTTAAATTCTTTACCATATGGTAGACGTACCGAAGCGTGATCAAGAGGATTTCGTATTTTCGTGTGGTACAGCGCTGTATGGACGGTGAGAACTGAGAAACGTTACTGGTGGCCGGTGGGGCCTGAGTGGGAGGCACGTCGAGAATGGTTGAAAACAACGCGCCCTCGAAGGGATGTCAGTGAGTCGGGTTAAGTGGAAAACCCACACTTGCCCGACCCTATCGGGGTTAATGTTGGATCAGTCTTGATCTGGTTCTGATAGGGTCCATGCTGATTGCTGAACCCGACCCGTAAACATTGTAGCGTTGGAATGTTCTTACATGTAGGCTTGTTTGAGTATCAATGTACCATATATGTGGCGGGTCGGTTCAGTTCCGATAATTACTCTCTTTTCAGTTGGATCGGGTCAGGTCAGGTTGGAGTATCATGGCATCGAGTTTGGGTTGAGCCAAACCCTACAGAACCTGACCCATTGACATAACTAGCTCGAATTCGAGAAAAAGGTCAAATAAAATTGAATTAAAAAGTTATTAATATATAAAAGTTTTTAAAATGTAGCAAATTTTATGTATGTAGTTTTTTACTTTTTTAGAGAGGAAATTGTGCATATTTATAATTAAAAATGAAAATTTTATATTACAAAATAATTTTTAAGAATAAATCAATAAAACATCCCGATATTTATTTCCCTGATTTTATGAAAAATTACATTATTTTGAGTAAAGAGAATGTATGCATAGAGTGGAGAAAGTGTAGAGAAAGTATGCCTTGTTAAGTAACAGTTGAAGCTTGGGCAATCTATGAAAGTGGATTACTAAGCATTAAAAAGGTAATGGACTAATGGGTGGGAGTCAATTGAAGCATCTAATGTTAGTAAGTGATATTGGGAGAAATTCTTTGCACGAGTTGTAATAAATCAAGGAGATTAATTGTTACGTAGAATAAAACCAAGACCGACACTGCTCGCTTCACCTTTTTCTCCCTCCTACGTTTTGTTTTGTAGTAGGTTCTCCCTCCAGATCTTACTTAACGATTTCTCTCTGTTCGCCACAGTTATTCCTTCCTTCCTGATTTCTCTTTTCTGTAACATGGTCTAAATGGCAGATGACACTACTCTTCAAGACCTCTCTCGACTCCTTCCGTCATCTTCCGCACTCCTGTTCGGGCAAACGATCGATGATGGCATCTCCCCCGTGGATGATTGACAAAGAAGTTTGGTCTGTAAGGTATTTACTGACCGGCATATACTTGCTTTCGCCGATGACTCGTTATTGATACGATTTCCAACTTCTTTTGAGCGAGATCATGTCTTTGAGAAAGGTCCCTGCCTATTTGACAATGACCTTGCAGTCATTCGAAAAGTAATTCCCCATAAACCTCCAGAGTCTTATACCTTCTGTCAGGCTGATTTCTTTGTTCATCTTAATTGGTCTGCCGGTGGATTATCTCAACATTAACGCTGCTAAGTGCTATGCATATTGGATCTGCATCTACGGCAACAGAGTCTACGGTGGCAAGCCTGATATTGCCACCGCGTAACCAATGAAGATTATGTCTTGGAAATTGGAATTGCCAGGGATCGAGGGGGGAGTCCCCTGACAATTCGTCAATCTTATCAGACTCCTCACAGATGAGAAGCCTCAATTAGCTTTTATCATGGAATCCAAATGTGATTGGCGAAAGTACAATTGAATTTTACATCAATTCAGAAATTATCACTGTCATATAGTTCCTTCTGAAGGTTTGAGTGGTGGTTTATGGCTTATGTGGAATTCAAATGTCAACATTCCTATCACTTTTTCTTCCTCTCATTTACTAGTGCTTGATGTTTATAATTTCCCTTCATTTTCATTGGAGTGTGTTCTTTGTTTATGGGCACAGGATAGAAGACATAGAGCAGAAGTTTGGTCGACCATTCAAAGGCTGGGACTGGGACAGAGTAATGCTTTTCCTTGGGTGATTCTTGGTGTGACTTCAATGTAATCATCAGTTCGGTGGCAGACAAAGAAGGAGGTAGGCCAGTTTCAGTTAGAGACGACACTGCCGACTTTCTTACATTAATTCACGAGTGTCAGCTCCAAGATATCGAATTTCAAGGTCCACACTTCACTTGGTCTAACAGAAGACAGCCTCACGCTCTTATTTCTGAAAGGTTATATCGAGTGTTAGTAACAGATGCATGGATTCAATTTTTCGTCTCTGCTTGGGTTAAACACCTCCCAGCTGCAGCTGGATCAGATCATAGCCCCATCATTTTACATACCTTGGGAAGAAGATACAGATGAAACACACCTCTTCGCTTTGAAGCCTATTGGACATAGTTAGACGGTTTCAGATCACAAGTCTCTACGTTGCGGAATTCTAGTTCTCAATGTTTTATTGACAAATGTGACTTCACAAAACTGAATATGCAGCAATGGGCCTCTACAAATCATGGTCAATTGAAGAAGCACCGGGAGCTTCTTCTATCAAAAATTGCACACCTCCAATCTTCTGCGAGAATAGAGGATAACTTACAACTTACAATAAGAACGTCCTCTACTTAGGAGTTGGATTACATTCTTGAAGTAGAAGATACCTACCTATTGGCATGAAAGAGCACGGTGTAACTGGTTGCATGTCGGCGACAGAAATCAACAGGAAGCGTAAAAATAGCATTTATTGGCTCAAAGATTCAGATGGCAATTGGTCTTCTGATCCCTTGACGATTAAAACTGCTATTCGAGATTATTTTCTTGATCTTTTTGCCTCTTCAGATCCAGTTTGTACAGACATTCCTGATCAAGAATTTGCTCCTTGTGATGTTACCCTAGACAATAATAATTTCCTGTGCTGTTCCTACAACTGAGGAACTCAAAGCGGCTCTATTTGCAATAGGACCGATCGACCAAAGCCCCTGGGCCGGATGGTATCACGACCAAAGCCCCTCGGGATATTAATTCCATTAATGGGACTAACATAGTTCTCATACCAAATAAAGACGGTGCTTAGTTTGTGAAGGATTTCAGACCTATAGGACTTTAGGAATGGCAATGAGCAGGGTATCCCTGCAAATTGCCCAACCCATTCCCCTATCCCAGATTTTAAATCCGTCCCAAATTCGTTTAACTTTTCTTTTCAATTTTTCAAACTCATCCCGTTTTAAACCCATTCCACTCGTTAAATCTCTTGACCAAATGTTTTCTACTAAAAAGCTTCTTAATGCTTATAGTGTGACTTGAACCCAAATCAATTAATGACCGTATAAAATCTCTTATGTTATTTAATAAAATAAAATAAATTTTATTAACTTTTGTATTCATTAAAACAATCAATCTATCTATCTATCTATAATAATTCTAACTAAAAATTAAAAGAAATAACATTTAAAATTAGCATTTTATAACTAAATGAAATAAATAATCTATCAAATCCAAATTTACATCAATGGTTTTAATCCCAAGAAATTTATACAAATAAAATATTAATAAGAGAATAATTATCTTGGTACTTAAAATTTATAAGTTTGTGCATGATATATAATATAATAGATTCATATTTATGCATCTCAGATATCGGGTATCAGATGTCAAAACTTAAACCCGTCCCAAACCCTATAGGATTTTGATAAATGGATCCTATTAGGGTCAAAACGTTGGATACTCAAAAATCCCGCGAAATTGACATCCCTAGGCTCTGTTTGGTTTGAGGGAAAGGGATGAAAAAAGAAGAATATTCCTAAATGATACATTTTTCCCATGTTTGATTGTTGGTATACAGTGGTATGGGATGAGAAAAGAGTGAGAAGCAGGATCCCAAAAATAAGTAAGTGGGAAATGGTGCGACCCCAGTGAGAAACGAAAAACGTGAGATGCGCTTGAGAAAAGTTATCGGGCTTTGTTAGGCCTGAACTCGAGAGTCTCCTTCTTCCTTGGTGATTTCAAGCAAAGGCAAGACCAGATCTACACTCCTCTTGTTTTGGCGAGCCATTTCCTCTATTTTCTTGTATATTTTGGTGGATAAGAATGTCTTAACCATTGTTGCGCCAGTCTCTGCAATGACTAGCCCCATTTCATCTTCACTATTTTCAGCAAGGAGAAGATCCATTCTCCTTGTGTAGGCGAGATTTGGTAGGATAGTATGTTTTAGCAAGCAAAGGAGAAGCTCCATTTCATCTTCTTCACTACTTGCGCCAATCCTTGTTTTAGCCTTCTCATTTTATGAGATTTGTTAGGACATGCACAAGGGTAAAATGAGATTTGTTAGGGACAGGGGTTTTCTCTGAGATTCACGTTATAGTGCTGTGACGAAGGGTTTTTTTTTTGTTTCTTTGTT